ATGAGGCGATGAGAAATGGAAATGGATTAGCCCAATATTAACCGAATAAGGGGTGTCAAGAGCCAGAAGGTTACGGTCACCACTTGAGCGGGTCAACAACGGATTTGCGGAGAGTGCTGCGGCTGCACTTTTGACAGCGGACATTTTGTTGCACGCCTTTCCCCCTTTTCCATCATCTCCCTTCCTCCCTCCCTCCATCTTTCCCTCCCTCCCTCCGTCTCAACGGCTTTCTCTCTCTGCAAGATGAGATTCCACCCAAGTAGTAGGGTCTTGGCAAAAAAAGAAAAAAATTTGAGAAATGAGATTGGTGACGCCGAGAGAGTGTTTCTCTTTATCACACCAGAAACCATCTGTCTCTTCGCCGCTAACCTCTAACTCGCATCTAATTTATTTCGCACGCAAAAGGAGCGGAAGGTTTTTTTATCGCATATGTATACGCCTACGCGCACAAAGAAGTTACGGGCTTCTTCAAAGGGCTGGAAATGACAGTGGTATCGCGGCGCTCGGTGCGGACTGGAAATTGAATCATAGAGACACCATTGAACGCTATTCATAAAGGCACTTATTGCTCAGTATTCCGACTCAACAATTTCCTGTGCAGCCCGGCAAAACAACTGGGAGAGACCGAGAATAGATTCGAGAGTTCTCAGCCGATACAAGGAGAAGAAAGACTGTTAGCCTCCAATATCCGTCATTAACTCGCCCATTTCCTACAAAGCGCCAGAAATAATGGTAAATTGATACAGAGAACCGATTTGTGATTTTCCCTGCCAAAAGAGTATAATCTGGATGGTCTGCGACAAAGAAAAGCACAATGACGACACTTAATAGAGCGCCTGAGAAACCTTCCAATGAAGAGTCGACTCATAAACAACCGCCTATAACGAGTGACATCAATGTGTCATTGTGTGGCAAACTACAAGCTTGTGTACTGCACACAAAACGTAACCTGCCGAAGATAAAAACAAGTGATAAAAAGGGGTGATTCGGGGGGGGCGGGGGTGCTGGAGGCGAAAGAGGATGCTGGGAGACACAAGAGGAGAGGCACTTTATTGGCAGGTTGAAATTAATTTGCGAAGTGACTGGTTTTGGTAGCCCTGGGGAGTTAACCCCAGTGAGAGCCACCAACGCTGGGGAAGACAAGGCTCGCCGGGCCTCCAAAGAAAACAGCCAGCTTCACAGCCACCTAGCAGGGAACAATAAGCATGAGCTTTTGCGCTATCGCTTATGTGCGCATACATGCAAGATGGCGCTCGACTGGGAAGGCGAGGCGAGGGGCAGGTGGTTCACTCGCCTCTCTTTACCCTCTCCATCCCCTCCCTTTTCTCTCTCTCTCTCTCTCTCTCTCTCTCCGTTCCCTCCGGTCATCGCTGACATGTCATTCTTTACGGCGGCTCTGCGGGATCATAATCCCATTTGGTCACACTTGGCCGTAGGGGCTGCGTGGACGCATCACTTGTGAAAGCAGACTGGATTCAATTTGAAATGTTCAAATGTACAAACACAAGGGAATTAACATTTCTTAATAAATAGGCAAAGTTGCGTGAGTCAATCATTCACATTGCCTGGGGTTTTCCGTGTTTATCACATGATCTCAATGGTACCCCAGTAGACGGGCTCTTTAGACTGCTAACTGAACTACTATGACGATTACTAAAGCAATCTATGCATTATTTGGGATAAATTCTGTATTCTCGAAAAAGAAATTCTGCAATCAGCAAAGCAAGTATTATGGGTTCGGTGGAGTCAGCCTGTTCTTTATTCAATACAGTTTTCAAGAAATCTTTTCCTTCATTGCAATGATATCAAAACAGTATTAGCACTAATATCTGTGTATTTGCAAGTTAGCTGAAAGCCTATGCTAAAGCATTATAAAAATAAATAGACAGTACATACTTTTCAACATTCAACAGAAACAAACATCCTCAATGTGACCCCTGTTGGCTGGGTATGGTATAACACTGTATGGTCATATTTTCAGAGTTAATTTAAAAAAATTAATTGTTTTATGAAGACTGACGTAGCCTAATCTGTTTCTTAAATCTCCAGAATCCAGGCCCAGACCATTCTCTTGGTTGCATTTCATGTCTCACCGTGCCTTATTTTTCTCTGCCCACCGCTACAGTGATGCCACCGTGACTGAAATACTCCTTGTGCTGCTAGGTTGAACCGGTACGTAGCCTGTCTTTATCTCTCAGTTTACCACACAAGCTCTCTACACTGCATATTTCCCCTTTTCCTCTTTGTCACCATCAGAGACAAACACAGAGAAGTGACAGTTACACACTGATGGTTCGACTCCCCAGATCGTTGAAACATAATGTCATTAATTATTTGAGGAAATGTACAGAGAGAGCTAGCATGACATATTTTCTATAAACAATTTGAGGGGAGATCATGATGAGTTGGTGAGGTGCTGCAGATGCACAAATGGTAACTGATTATTTTTTTTTTTTTCCCCGTCAGCATTTTTGCGACGGCTTTAGTGGGTTCTGGCTGTATTGTTGACAGAGCAGTATATTATGGAGTGCTCACTGTCTTCGTCCGGGGATTTTGTTTAGTCAGTTTAAGAGTGTTGCTAATTTGGTTGGACGTGACACATTCATGTTCGGATCTTTGTCATTTCTCGAAATATTTCTCCCTCTGGGCCCTCGCGTCGCACACGCTCCATAAATTTGAGAACACCATCTCCAGGGTGGTAAATATGGGTAGAAAAGTGTGTTAATGCATCGCACAGATAGTGATTTATGCATAAAATTCCTAGCAGAGATTTTTACAGGAGACAGATGAATGGGTATGTTAAAATCGGCGACAGACAATGATATTTTCGGTGATGACCATAGTCGCTTCGCCTAGTCGTTCATCTTTTTATGTTCTAAGCATTTAACACACCACATCAAGCGCAAACAAGCACCCAAAGAAACAAAGGCCCACAGACATAAGAAAACACCAACACCCTCATAAATATTTTATAGACGTATAAACTGAGAAGATAACGTATAAACTCAGGCTGTACAGTACGTGTAGTGTACACAAGTACATGCAAGCACAAAAGAAAACATAAACACACATGCGCACCACACACCACTGCCACCACACGCATATGTAAAAACACACAGACACTAACATGTACTAATGCATGTGTACATACACACACACACACACACACGCACATGTACAAACACAGAGACAACAACATGTACTCATGCACACACACACGCACATATGTATCAAACACACAGGCACTAACATGAACTCATGCACACACACACACACACACACACACACACACACACACAGGCTTTTGTATCAAACACACAGACACTAATGTTTACTTGTGTGTGCACACACACACACACACACACACACACACACAGGCTTTTGTATCAAACACACAGACACTAATGTTTACTTATGTGTGCACAAATGCACACACACGCACACACACACACACATGCACATGTACAAACAAACAGACACTAGCATGTACTCATGCACGCACACACACACACACACACACACACACACACACACACTTTTCTATCCCTTGTCTGAGAGTCTCCTGTCATTAAATGTTGGCCTAAGGGCATACGGGGAAGGCTGTGGAGACAAAGCCTTGCCCAGTGCTGTAATTAAATGGCTGCCGGATGCTGTGGAAAGAATAGAGGTGGTAAGTGCTTCGCTCACCGCTCCAGGACTGAGAATATTGGCAGACGCTTGAAACAATACGGTTATCTGCAGACAAACTAGCCTTAAAGTAAAACGAGATAAGGAAATGCAAACGGCTGTCCTTCCTCAGGAAGCGAAAACCTTTTCCTTTTAGTCAGAAAATTTACTGTTGGGAAGTCATACATCAAGATAAATTAAGCAAACTAGAGGCGCTCTGAGAGTGCAAACCTCCACTGAGGCAGCACAGTCAAAATCTAGCTGAGTGAACACGGCTCATAAGAAATTTCAGGTATCTGCAACATAGGATTTCAAGATGGCTCCCATGGCGGCCATATTATTTGATGCAGCGCGTTCCAAACAGATAGGTTCCGCCCATAGACTGTATAGATGGATGAAGCAACCGTGATGTCACCCTTTGGTTTCACCATACCACGTAGGAAGCCTCGATTTTGGCAATTTGAACCGCGTCATTTTGTCATTTTGAAACCGGATGTGATTCCTATTGGACGAGAGCGTGAACTGAAGATCCAGGGAGGATCGAGGGGTGGATCTACGGGTTGATCTGACGAGCACCAGAGGATAGCCACGTCCCTAAAGCATATCTGGCTTTATCCTTTAATCTAGTCTATTCGGGACCATAATTTACAAAAATTAACATCATGATATATCGAAGGAGACTTGAAACTTGCGATAGATAGCATAAAATAATGTGGAAAATCATTATTGAAATAATAAATCAGGTGGGAAAGTAGGGTCATTTTGTCATAGACTTCTATAGCATTGAACCTCTTTGTGAAACCACCAAGGTATAACAAATATAATAAATATAATGCATTTTTAAGAGATTTCTCCATTGGCTTCACTTTTCAGATCCCGGTGCTGCGTCCATCTTTTTATACAGTCTATGGTTCCGTCCTTGATGCGAGACCAATAAACTCACAAAATTGGAGTGATATCACTGGGAACGAAGTTCAGTTATCGCGTGTCATAGTATTTCAAGATGACTGCCAGGATGGCCATATTGTTTGACCGATCACGGTCAAAATCAATTGGGTCCCTCCCTGATGTAATAGCAACATAACCAAAAAATTTCAGAAATATCCGTTCATTGCTTTTTGAGTTATTTTGTACATGAATAGAAAGACAGACAGACAAACCAATGCCACCAATAGCATAACTTCCTTGGCGGAGGTAATAAAACAATATGTCATGAATGCAGATAGAACTGCTGAGGACAGAAAAGGCTCATGAACATTGCATTGATGCTTAATGAATACAACATTACGACAAGCACTTATACTTCAAAAGGAAAATCACTAAACATGGGGGGCTGCCGAATAGCTCACTCGGTAAAGCATCATGTTGCGAAGCAGATGTGACCATCACGTTGCGGGTTCGAGCCCCGCTTCGTACCAGCCGGCAGTGGTCGGCAGCCTTTTCAGAGTAGCGCACAATTGGCTATTGCGCTACAGGGTTGCAAATTGGGAAGGGACTGCCGGGAAGGGATTACAATAGTTGCCTTGTTTGTTGCTCAAGCACCTCCTGTTGGCCAGATGGGCGCTCATCAGGAAGATTCTAAGCCTGGTCATGTCCGGGTATCCTCCACCCTCGTTCTGAACAATGAGTGTATAAGAAGCGGTGGTTGACAGGCGCGTGCTTTGGAGGAGAGCCGCGAACTGTCTACACTCTCCTGAATTGGCAGCAAGGGGTCGCATACGAGCAAGCCTTGTACATAGTTCACCAGTTGGGCATTCCAGATTTGGGTGGGATTGGAGATGCCAAATTTATAAAAAAAAAAAAATCACTAAACATGCACCCTACTGTACAGTGGTAAATGTATTGAAATGCCTTATCATCCAGTTAAAAGTTTCACTTTTAATAAGGTCTCAGGATAATGCTAATTAATTGGACTTGGGAGGTTTCCAGTCGATAGCAAAGATCAAGCACAAATCAAGCAGACCATAAATCCGCATCTCTCGTAATGAGAGGTGAAATGTCCCAGTTCAGAAAGTGAAAGCCGTACATGGTACCCTCTCGCTATCCCTCGGATATTATTTCCTCATTAGCTCAATTAGCACTAGGGGGTAGAGCTAATTACAGAAATAAGCCAGCTGAGTTCACGACATGACTTTCTGACCCCAGCGCCAACCACCTCTGCTCACAATAATCATAATCTTTTACTGCTTGCAAGGTAGTGAGCCAGAAGTTTGATCTGGGACATCCAGGAAAAAGTCTATTGATAGTTAAAGAATGTAGACATTATATTTTATATTAAATAATAACACGTGATTGCCTGATGGACGTGAAACACATGCAGTTATACTGATCAGAATAGAGAACTTTGGTGCTTTTGTCTGCATTGGATTACACAATAGAGCTCACAAACCTCAGACAGCACAGCTTTTTATCCAAAATTGCAAGCTTTTTACCGCTAAACCCTCCTATTCCCTCATAATCTGCCACACCATCAGAGCGTTCCCCAAGTTTCAACCTCCCAAAAAGACGTAAGAAGCAATCCATGGACCAGAACCAGACACGCGAGTCCAAATGGATAATACCAGTTGAGACAAACACCAGGCTTTAGCTTCTTATTGGGCGAAAACATGCTTATACTCACAGAAATTAATCTGACAGGAGTAGTATTATAGACTGTCTGCACAATTCACTCATGGCGATAAGTGAAGGATCAAGAGCTGGATCGTGGATTCTCCATGGCTAAACAAGATTAAGCAAGAGCAATGTATTCATTGTGCTGTCATGCTAACTCTGGGTTCAAATCCGGAGCTGTGGGCGAGTGAAGTTTTTCAAAGACTCAAAATGACATCCACTTAACCCCACATATTTACACATTTAGCATAGATATGATCATCTGTACCACTCTTCTGGGGGGTCATTTGCTGGGTTGATATCTTGCAGTCTCTATCAGGCTTATTTAGCCGCACAGATTTGAAATGCCTACATTTTTCACAGAATTTTGTAATATAAAAATTTTAATTAAGTGTATATATATATATATATATATATATATATAAAAACCCTGCTGCAAAATTGTTTATGTACAAGCTGTGATCATATATTATTATGAGCGCTCGCTACAAAACTTTACAGATTTTTCATAGCACATGTGATTACAGAGGAAACAATGACCAACAGTAATTTTATACCCTCAATGCATCCAGCCACAATTCTGTGCGCTATTTCTGCATAAACCTACAGCAAGGACAAATCTCCATGAACACAAATAAATCAGCGACAGGAGCAAACGCAACGTTTCTTTAATTTTACTTACATGGATCATGCAGACACCCTACAAATTGCAATTGATTTGTAGTAATGGTAAACAGAAGATATAAAAACAGCAAAGCCGGTAGCTTCGCGGAAATCTATTAATTTTCCCGTATTATGCATTATTCCTCCCATGTCCGCCGTCCAGCCTTTCCCCAAATCACAGCCCCGACTTTTTACGAGAGACAAATGGAAATTCAGTGCCAAAAGGAAATATTCCATCCAAACACAATTACAGGACAATTTACAAGGGGCCATATGGAGCAATCAGCAATTGCTTTTCCCAGGGAGAAAGATATAAAAAAAATTTAAATAAATAGACCAACAAGGTGCCCCGAACATAGCTCGTCAGATTTTCCCATCTCATCGGCGAAATCTGTCCTTCACTGCTTGCCAAGAGGAGACATTACCCGTAAGATACTCAGTCCCAAATGGAGATGAAATGAGAAAGTGGGTCTAAAAGTAATGAGCGTACAACATGGGATTTCCTGCCGGAATTACACGGTCTCATTTCTCCCCTATCTTCCCAGTGTCCAATTAGAACGGGATTTGGATACAGGAGTGAATTTCAGATATCAGAATGATGGCAAAAATATTGAAGCGTGTTGTCGTTTCTGCACGAGCTCTCGTTTCCCTCTGCATCTACAATAAAATCAAAGAACTAGCTGAAGAAAATGAGAGCCAAAAGAAAAAATAAGAATGGGGTGACTTTTAGTGCAGGCCACTAATCAGGTGGCTGTCATGAGAATTTTAATAGGAAATATGTTCTCTTCGGGGTTAGCGTAAGCACTGCATCAGTTACAACCTTCCATATCTGTCTTGGGCAATTGGTGTTTGTGTAATTTGATACTCTCATCGTGCAGTGGCAACCACTCATATAAGCTCATAGGATAAGATACAGCATGAGTTCAGAGTGCATTGAGGTGCGAAAACTCGGATCTGGGCGGTGTCAGGCTCAACGCTGCGCAGGAGACCAGTGGTTCTCGATGTTGGTGCTGGGAGTCCTCTCTGTATGCAGTTTTTTGTTTCAACTACAATTGCAACCATAGGATTTTAACGAGCAGTTAATTTGTCTCAATTAGGTGAATGTTTAGAGCAGTGATTTACCCTCTCTAAGCCACATGTCGACAGAAATATTCATACTCACCTCGGAGAATAAAAATTTTGTTTCCCCATTTTAATATATTGGAAACAACTGCATAAAAAGAGGGAAAAAATAAGCAATCAAATTATGGTATTCCTGGATTCCTAATAGGTAAAAACTTACTGACACATGGTTTCAAAAACTAACCATAAAGCAAACAGATGATGAAGAGTCAAACCCGTGTTTTGTCACGTTAATTCAATGAAGTACAAGAAAGAACTTAAAATACTCGTGTTCAGCATTCCATTTTGGAGCTTAATGATTTTCATCGAGTCTAATTTGATCTTTTTAAAAATGTTATTCCCTGAAATTACTTGCAGTATAGAAAAGCACAATACGTTCAATAATCGTTTGTTCTTCATGGTTTGATATTTCTGTCAAAAAGTGGCTTAAGAAAGAACGTGTAATTTGGCTGGAACAAAAACCAGCATAAACAGGAATACTGAGACTCACGGCAGTCGACTACAGATGGGCACGCAGGAAATAACCGGAGGAGCGTCAGATGTTATTTGGAGAGTTCTGACGCCTCTCCCGCTGGCTCGGGGGTGACTGAACACCTGTGCTTCAGAACAGCCAGTTGAGCCCAGCGCTTGATCAGCAAACATGGTTAAACCAGCCGCGGAGGAAAGGTGGCTTAACGGATCCCTCTGAACAGAGTACACTTCAGAGGTAAGACCACACCTTGTCCACCACCTGAGAGGCTAATCAAAGAGCAATCTACAGCTCAACCACCTCTGTACCAGCTTCAAATTAAACAGGAATAACAGGAGTGTACACAAGAACAGCTAAATTGGAATATACTAATAACTCAACCCTGTTTCTCCCTAAAATACGAATTTGCTGGCAGTTTAATTGACTCCTACAACGGCAAAGTGTCCCCATTAGACTGCATTGGATTAACACTGGATGTTCACCATGAACTGATCTCCAACAACTCATATACAACGTACAAAGTAAAGAAGTGGTTTTACCTTCTTGGAAAAATTACTAAGCAATGCCTTATTTTGGAAAAAAGGAGAAGTGTTAAAGAATAAATGGTGGCTAAAGACCAAAGCTATTATTTAGAGGACCAGAGGGACAAAATGGAAGGACAGCCTTGCTGTTTTGCCGCCGTGAAGGATGGCTATATAATCAGGGAAAGCTAGCCTGTGTGAGACCTCTATCGCTCTAAGGTGATGAAAGCCATCAGGACGAGGTCAGCTTGGAGCAGGGTGAGAATGGAACTGGGATGCAACATGAGAATGTGTGTTCGCGGACGTGTCTCTGTGTCTGTGTGTGTGTGTGTGTGTGAGTGAGTGTGTGTGTTTGTGTGTGTGTGATAAAGAGAGAGAGAAAGGTTGGGGAGAGGGCAAATGAAGAGCATTAGCAGGGATTTATTCAAAATAAAATCATGCAAATGTACAATATTGTCAGAAATATATCAGCAAAATTACTAATGGACATTGTGTATTGTCTCAGAGAGTGAAGAATCTTCCATGATTAATATTTAAAGATTGGAACCAGCTACTGATACATTAGCACATTGATGTTTGCATTTTCTAATTACGTTGGGACTGAGTAGCATAGAACTTGTTCAAATGAAAAATAAATAAATAAATAAATTAATAATAGTATTATTATTATTATTAATAATAATAATAATAATAATATTTTATCCCTTGTTAAATATGAAAGTTACTTGTACATTCATCATGGCACACGGGCGGATATCTGATTTTTTTAAAATATCAATCCAAACCAAAAGTGCCCACACCCTATGTGGACATCTTGGTTTGCAGCACTGCCTGCCCCAGCCCAGTAACTGAACCACTACCTGCAAAGAACTCTAAATGTGGTGATCCAGGGTGGTCCTCCATCCTATTGCTGAAGCTAACATCACAAAGCCAGAACCTTCCAATGTTGTAAGAGAAGAGCCTTTGCAGAAAAAGTTTAAGGCTCTAATTTGACAACCTAAAAGCAATCGGGAAGGTGAGTGCTAATGGTA